TTCGAAACCATAATCCATTTAATTGCAGAATAATGTGTAATATTTTAGCAATTAAAGTTCAAAATCATAATCCAGTTAATTGCAGAATAATTTAAAATGTCTCAGTAATTAAATCCAAATAATTTATTCATGTAATTGCAAAAAAGAACTAATATTTCAGTAATTTAAAATCCAGAGCATGCATGGACCAAATCTGTTAATTAAAGGACCTTACTGTGCATTTAAAACAAGTTTTAAACTCATGCTATAATCCGCTAAATCACTAATTTAAAATTAGGCAATTTAAATCATTTCCATCCGTAAATAGCATGCAAAGTTGTTTAATTTCATATTATTCATTCTACTCGCATGACCGTATAAACTATGCACTGAGAGCTCTTAATAACACCTGTATGGGATGTTAAATACCCCAGTACTTCCAGAATAGTTCAAGATACACAAATCGTCCAAACAGTGCACTCGAACAAACCCAGAACGCATCAAAACATGGGAGCCTGTTCTCAGAACTTGGGAGTAGGCTCTGTAGAGCATAGAGCCGGCTCCATAACTCTTGGAGCTGGCTTAGGAGGGTTGGAAGCCGACTCTAGACTCCCCAGAGCCGATTGTGAAGATGAGGGAGCCGGCTCTCTCCTTCTCTGAGAGCCTTGGTGCGTTTCCGACCGTCTGCTTCGACTCCGGCCACTTCCAACCTTTCTGTTTGTTTTTAAAACTGTTCCTAGGAGTCCTAAGTGTGTCCAGTATCATTCCAGACCATTACTTAAACCAGTTTGCATTATTAAGAACTTTAGAACACTTACCGATTAAACATGCTTAAGAAAACAAACACTGTAACAAAACTTGTAAGAACCGTAACTGAATTAATTCAACGCATACAAATATTCAATTTAACATATAATAAACATGTACAATTCAGTTAATGATCCATTAAAACCCTAGAGCCTATCTAGGTGCACAGAACACAGGCCAACGGGAGAGAGAAAGAAAAAAAAACTTGCCTGTGATTTCAGTTATGAAATCTCGGCGTCGTCTCTATGTTTTTGGCAAAACTGAATACCGTCAAGCCTCCTATTACTCCGACTCTAATCCACAATCAACCTCCTTGGTCCTCTCTGTTTTCCTCTCAAGCCGCTCTCTATTTCTCTCTGCCTCTAGTACGTGAATAGGGTTCTTAACAAAACCCTTGGCAGACCCCTACTGTTTTATTTATAGGCTTAAGAAATATCAGCCCTAATTCTAATTTAATTGTAAAGACGAAAAACAAACAGTTCCTTATATATCTAAGGCGGCTCTATTAAAACGTGACATTAACGAGAACAAAACCCTAATAAACAATTGGAACAATTAAAACGATTTTAATTAAACAAACCAATTAATGTAAATAAAATAAGTAAATAAAATAAACAAGACAATTTATTCATTCAATTAAAGACAAATAAAAACACAATTAAATAAAACCATTACTCAATTAATTCAAATAATAAACACAAATAAACAATTAAACAAATATTACTCAATTAATTCAAATAATAAACACAAATAAACAATTAAATAAATAAAAATACACTTAAATAATTTGGTATTACAATCCCAAGGGGGAGTGTTGTAATATAGTGGGGTCTACCTCATGCATGAGTGTTCGTGTATATCAGTAATTTATGTATTGAAGTGGATTTAGTATTCCGTGCCTTGTATGAGATAATGTAATGAGTGAAGTGCATTAAGTGGTGAAGGCTTTATATAAAGAAGTGTGATGTTTTGTAAAGGGACACACCAATAGAAGCAAATAAGAGTTTTATCTTTCTTCTCTATCTATTGTTTGTCTTATATTCTGTTCTTATATCAAGTGTGTTGCAACTCCTCAATATTACTCTATATTTTCTCTTAGATTTATAAAATGTTGTATTATGTTATGTTATTCTTTGAGGCCATATATATATATATATATGACCATGGGGAGTTCTGACCACGACCGATAGTTCTGAAATGGTGACTAGACGACTAATGATGAGAATCTGGTGATGATGATGGCAAGAAGCAATTCCAGCAAAATCAACATTGGAAGAAAATTCTGGCGAGGCAACTATTGTTGTTCATTGGGTGTTGGTTAGGGGGTTCGGTGATGGTCGTTGATGATAGAGATCGTATTAGATGGGTTTCTCGATTAAGGCTGGAAAGGGTTCTACAATGTTTTATAAACTGATTAGGACTCCATTTTGGACGGATTCACGTTAATCAGTACCGTGAATTTAGGGAAATTTTCACGATGACAACTACACAGGCAAATGACGACCCCCACGACAACCCACACAGCAACGATCAACAAGACGCTGACGACCTTCGATGCAAACCACCCAATGACAACCATTTTCAAGTCAAAATTAATAATTTTAGAAAATTAGGGTTTACATAGACAATGGTACATTCCCAAATACATACTGTTGACACTTAAGGTTATTTAAATAGTGGAGTGTAGTATTCTGGATTCATAATGGTGTACAAAATCATGTTCTTCTGGGATATTGTGGATGTGGAAAAGATAATGGTTATATTTTACCAAGAAAATTAAGGGATTATCATGAGGGGGAGAAAGTTTGAATCAAATAGAATTGATAAAGGATGAGATTTAAATAGGGGTGTAACTTGGGTTGGGCAACCCGAACCCAATTCGAGCCTGTTCGATTTTTTTTTTTTTAAGGTTTGGACAATTATTTTTATAAATAAGGTAATTTTCAACTCGAAATTAATTATTAGGGTTGGGTTTGGGTTGAGATAATAGCAATATAAGCAAATCCGAACTCGAATTCTAATATTATTTTTATATATGTTTTCAATATTTAAACTACGATCACCTTGTTTTTTTTTTCAACTTCATTTATTAAATCTTAATTTATTGTATGTTAACATTTAAGACAATTAATTTTTTAAGAATTTGTTTATAATTTATTCAAAATTTATATTTAAGCTTTTTTTTTAAGAGTAATTTAATCTAAAACTAATTCTAGATCATATTAAATTTTTGGTGCGAAGATTAGCTATATGAGTAACTCGAATTCACCCTAATTTTTAACATGGAATCTAAGCCCGAATTGCAAATCCGAATTTAAAAATAGAATGATAGGTTGGGCTCGGGTTAAGTAGTTAGGGTTGAAGATAGGGTTGGGTTGGGCTTGGTTTTAACATTTCATATGGTGAGTTAGACTCAAGTTATACCTCAAACCTGCCCAACCCGCTCGAGTTACATCCCTAGATTTAAGCTTGATGTGGTTGCTTTAGAATATGAGTCTTTATTATTGAGGACTTATGAGTATTTATCTTCAATAAAGTTTAATTGACTAGGGATCAATATGGGGTGATACAACAATTTCACGTGATTTATGGATTAGCAGGCTTTCATTTGGAGTAGTTTTGGGAAGTAGAATGCAATCCAATAGCTGAACTTTAGGGAGTAATTTATTTAATTTTAGGACTCTTTAGTTTTCAATAAATAATTGTAATGGGCGCCTTTGTAAATGGTCCAGCACCTCTCAAACAATTGTATCAATACAATTTCTTTCAATCATGTTACCTAGTTAAACTTAATTCCTATAGTTTAATTCGCCTTTCATAGTTTAATTCAACTTTCCTTTAGTTAATTATTCTATTTTAATTCAACTTCCTTTATTAGTTATTCCCTTTTATTTGCATTCATTTTGCAATATCAATTCCCATATTTTCCAGACCAGTAGCTACTTTGGGTTTTATTTCAATATCATTTTCCATTTTAATTCAAATTTCAATTTCATTGCAATTCATTCTTCCCTTTAAAGTCCTTTTTACTTAAGGCAATTGAACCCATTAAAGAAAGTTCATTGTTATCTCTTTCTATAATCGCCTGGTCTACTATTTCTCCAAAAGAGACTGAGTTGTTTTGCTTCACACAAATCGAATCAAGCCCATTGATTCTGGCACGCTTGCATCAAGCCAATTTCTGAATCTGCATGTATAGCCGATTTAAGGGTACACAGTAGATCAACCGAACTGAACAGATCAAAACTGGAATTGAAAGCTCACCGGTCTGAACTGAACTTTGCCAGAATTTATGGTTGTTTAAGCATTGCACCTTCACCTTCGCCTGTTAATCAATTCACTGTTTACACACACACATATATATTATGACATTAATTTATCCATTGTTAGGTATGGTGGTGGTGGCGCCCATGGTGATTGGTGGTATTTTTTTATTTTATTTTTTTATTATTTTTTTTTTGTATATGGTGTTTAGATGTACACGGATATATATATATATATATATGTGTCTATATATATACACACATAATTTGAAAATTAAGTCATTTACCACAAAAATTTGAGGGCATTTAAGTAAATTAGATAGGTCCGTTAGTGCATTTAATGGCCCCTCACTATGAGGAAGGTCTGTGTAGATTAATTTCATATTTAGCGGAGTTCCTTGTAATTATGAAAAACTACATGAAATGTCCGTATAATTTACCCTAAACTTTATGTGAATTAAGGTGGATTTTTCGACTAACTCCATTGTCAAAGTAACGGTATTGACCAAGGAGCCTATACGTGTATAAGCAAAGAGACTAAAAATTAATAATTAGGGCTGCAAATGAACCGAGCTGTTCGAGAACGGCTCATGCTCAGCTCGAGCTCGTTGTTTAATAAGTGAACCGAGTTCGAGCCGAATTATAAGGCTCAATTTATAAATAAGTCGAATCTGAACATAAGTAAACTTGACTCGTTTGTTCATGATCCATTCACGAACTAAGCTCGATAACGCGTTCGCGATCGAACATACTCGTTTATAATATTTATATACACGCGCGCGCGAAAGTATTGAACGTTTTTTAAATCTGCCACCATGCCATCCTACTATCCTAGACTTCCTAGTCTAAAAATTGGAGTACTCAACTTTTCAAACCAGCCAGCCTGCCACCATCATAGTCTAGAAGACTATAACTTAGGCTGTCTCAGTCTGACTATCCACGTGATGCACTGATACACAAAAACCCACTCTTCACTCTTCAAATCTCATTTATAGATCTGAGATCTCATATTCATTATTCATCTTTTTCTTTTTTTTTAAAGGTGTTTCATGATTCATTTTGCTTTCTCAATTTCTCTACTCACACAACTGGTTCGGTTGCTCGTTTTGCCCCCACAACAACACCGATCATTTTCTTTGTAAGTCAATTTTTTTAACTTCCTCACTTTTTTTTTTATCTTCTCTCTCAATTTCTCTACATAAATTGGGTGTTTATTCTTACTGATTTATTATTATTATTTTTTGTTTTATCCCTTCATCTATTGAACCTTTATGTATAAATTTAGAATTTTTTTTCCTTTGAAAGAGTTAGGGTTTTTTCTTTTGAGAAAATTTGAACGTATCTCTCATTTTCTTTATTAAGTAGTCTGAAAAATCTTCTATTCATAGTTTCTCTTTATTAACTCTAAATTATTTGATGCTGCATATTCTTGATGCTACATTTGAATGTCTGAAAATATGCAAAATGAGACACCAATCATTAATATTGAGGGTAATGAGGCTGATGAGCCGAACAAAACATTTAAAAAAGCCAAAAGGAAGAGAACATCTCTTGTTTGGAAAGAGTTTCAGGATGTTACTCTTGCGGATGGTTCTTTGAAGGCAAAATGCATCTGTTGCAAAGCTCAACTCTAAAAAAATGACAAGGATTTTTACCACTCAATTTCATCGACACTTGAATGTTTGTCCACGTCGTCAACTATCTGATAAGGGGCAAAAGATACTGTCAGCAAACAAGCTTGGGTTCGAAGGGGAGGGAACTCTTACAAATTTCAAGTATAACCATGCAAGAGTTATGGAAGTTGCAGCTCATATGGTCCTTGTGCATGAATATCCATTTAATATAATGGAGCATGTGTTGTTTAATGAATTTATGAGAACTGCAACTCCATATTATCAAAAGATTTCATGCACCACATTGAAAAATGATTGCATGGCTACTTATGAGTTATGAGCTTGAAAATATAAGATTAAAGAGATTTTTAAAGGATGTTAATAGAGTTAGCCTCACGGAAGATTGCTGGAGATCTGGACAATAAATTGGATATATGGTCATTACATGTCACTTCATTGATTCTGATTGGAAGCTACAAAAACGTATTTTGAGCTTTTGTGACGTGCCTCATCTACACACTTGACTTGTCATATTTGATGTTGTTTCTCAATGTTTAATTGATTGGGGAATTGCAAACAAAGTGTCAACTATAACATTTGACAATGCAACAAAACAATGATGTAGCTGTGAGGATTTTAAAAGATAAGTTTTGTTTGAAAGGCAAACTTTTCTTAGGTGGAAAGATATTTCATGTACTATGTTGTGCATACATTTTAAATCTTATTGTGCAGGATGGGCTGGATGAAATTCCAACTGTCATTGAAAACATTCGTGAAAGTGTGAAGTACTTGAAAGCGTTGGAGGCACGCCTATTGAGGTTTGCAGAAATTGTGAAACAACTACAGCTAGCTGAAAAAAAAAAAAAAAAAATGATTTGGGATGTTCCAACACGTTGGAGTTCAACTTATGAACTGTTAGCTACAACAATAAAGTTTAAGGAAGTCTTTCCAAGGTATCATGACAAGGATCCAAGTTACCGGTGGTTGCCATCTTCTGTTGATTGGGAGAAAGCGGAAAAAGTGTGTAAGTTTTTAGGAGTGTTTGAATATGTTACAAACATTATATCAGGAAGTGATTATCCAACATCAAACTTATTTTTAACTGAAATTTGGAGGGTAAAACAATTATTGGATCAAAAGCCTGTTGATGAAAATATTTATATTCGGGCAATGGTTGATAGGATGAAGGAGAAGTTTGACAAGTATTAGGGTGATTGTAATTTCCTCATAGCCATTGGTGCTATTTTGGATCCAAGATACAAGATGAAGCTAATTGAATTTTGTTTTCCTAAGATCTAGAATGAGATTGAAGCTTCTAAACACATCACCTCAATTCGTGAGGCGTTATATGAACTCTTTAATGATTATGTTACTAATTATTCTTCAAGTAACAACATAGAAAGTCTATGTGAAAACTCAAGAAGGTGGTTCTAGTGATGGTGGGATTGGTACTTCGGAGGGAAAGAGCAACTCAAGTGGCAAAAATGAGTTTGATCTCTTTGTTAGAGCAACTGAAAATATTCAACCTGCAAAATTGGACTTGGATATATATCTTGAAGACGGTGTCTTCATTTGTAGTGGGAATTCAGCTTCACACTTTGATCCTTTAGAATGGTGGAAGGCTAACAACCTCAAGTTTCGCATTTTGTCAAAGATGCAAGTGATATCCTGACCATTCCCATCACTACAGTAGCTTCAGAATCTGCCTTCAGCGTTGGAGGTAGAGTTATTGATCCTTATCGTTCGTCTTTGTCTATAAAAACTGTACAAGCTTTAGTTTGTGGTGCACTGGGTGCATAATTTTTATGGAATAAAAAAATTAGCAAAAGTAAGTGCCTACTAATCCTTTTTTTATTGGTTACATTTTTTTTTTGGTATATCATTTGATAAGTCTAACAATATATTGCTTCTTAATGTAGAGTGAAACGGGTATTGGAATTGTTACTGAATTACCAATCCCAAAATGACAAGTTGCAGGTACTTACATCTCATTATATGTATGTCCATATCCCTTGGTTTAAGTGATATATAATTCAATGTGCGAAGGTTTTTTGCTAGAAGACTTTTTGGTACTTCTAAATGAAGGGAAATTATTTTTTTTGCAAAGTTAAATCATTTTTCCCTTGCTATGATCAGAAGTTAATGAATGTTAATATAATTGGACAAAATATAAACTTTCATATATGGTTGGGTACTATTGCACATTTGTTGTTGTTGGTTTCTATGTGTTTTGCCCCAGCTGGGAAAATGGCTATCTACTTTTTGGGATGTCTCTTTTGGTTCGATGGCAAGAAGCGTGCTAGTCTATTCAAAATTATTTCTCAACACTCGTGCTTCTAAACAGACTACAATGAATGAATTTTGATGCCTATTGTTTATCGCTGTATTTTGCAGGGAATTGGCAGTTTTGGTTGTAGTAAGATTGGATTCTTGAGGTGGCTCTTTTGGTTGTCCATGTGCTGCTCCTAAGCCTGTCAGTGGTTATCTTTTTGTAATGACTATCCACTTCTTCTGGTTCACTGGTAAGAATTATATGAGTCTATTAAAAAAAAAAAAAAAAATTCTTCAACTTCTAAAGAAGTCATGTCTTATGAAAAAAAAAATTGATATTTACTTATTCTTACAGATTGTAAGATATTGGTAAGGGTATGATTTGGGCTTATAGTTGGCAAGGGTATGCCTAACAGGTTCATGATGCAGGGGGATGCCCTTCTTAATACTTGAAATTAATACCTTATGCCTAGCAGGTTCACAATGTATAGGGGGATGGCCCTCTTAATACTTGTAATGTTACTTTTCTAATATGTAAGAAAATGCTTGGGGTATGCTCTGGGCTATAATTGTGCTGAATTGTTTCTTTGTATGATTTTGTTTTACGTAGTATTTAGCTTTGTTTAATATTTTTAAATAAGATATTTACGTCAATTAGATTTGATATTATTCATTGTTTTGCAAATGGAAATAAGAAACTTTTATTTGTACTATATTTACTTTTTATAATAAACTTATATTACCTACCAGAATAATTAAAATAAAACAGAATGAAAGAAAAAATGTTGCTTGTATTGATTTTTAAAGGCCATTTTGAAAATAACCAATCTCAAGCCAAGCTCGAACGAGCTATCAAGCTAAGCTCGAACTTCATTAATAATAGATGAGTCGAGCGAGCTTGAGCACTACTAAATGAGCTCAAGCCGAGTTCGAGCACTACTAAATGAGCTCGAGCCGAGTTCGAGCATTATAGTTTCATGATCGAGCTGAGTTCAAACAAGAACTTACTCGGCTCGGCTCGGCTCGGCTCGTTTGCAGCCCTATTAATAGCTAATGAAGAGAGCTAATAGTTTAGTAGTAAGTGTTCTTCCGCTTTCATATACAGTTATAGATGTTATTTAATCAGTCTCTTTATTGGGCTTGTCTTGTCTTACCTCCCAATTAGAATGCATTTCAGATAATTCCTATTGGGTTAGGGGCAAGATTTAAAAAGGGAAAACTACACTTAGATAGAGTTAAGGTACTAAATAACAAAATGAGCTATTTTTAAAATTAATTTTTCATTTTGGTTAAATTAAGAAAAATAATTACATTTGCATCAACAATTACTGTTTAGGTCCAAAATGCCCTCCACTCTTATTTCAAAATACCAAATTATCTTTCTTAAATCAAATAATTTATTCATTCAAAAAAGAAATTTTTTTCAGTCAAACCCATCTTGATCTAATAATCGAATATATTTTCATTTTTAAATTTTTATAGTGGAAAAAGAACACTTGAGCAAGAAACTCTTTGCCAACTCTCTCAGCAATTCTTCTGGTCTCACTTAGTGAAAATATATTCGTGTACAGTGATCATTAAAAACCATAACCCACACATGATGTGTCTAATAGGAGTAGATATTGAATGTGTTAAGTACACTAAGTCATTAGTATGTCCAATCAATGACCGTACAACATTTAAAAAAAAGTTGACCCACCTAATTGTAAAATTACTGATAATATGTTATATTTGATTGTGTAGGTATGCTTATGACTAGGGGTGGTAATTTAAGCCCAAACCCATTAACCGCCCAAATCCGCCCACCAACATTTAAGTGAGTGGTTAACAATGGATAAAAATTGGGTACCTATCTTAACCAACTCAAACAAAACCCTCTTTTCTTTCTCATCCAATTCTCTCTTCCATCTCCTCCGTTTTCTGCCTCTCTCCTTCTCTTTTATCTTTTTCATTTTTTTTTTCTCCTTTTTTTCTTTTTCTTCCATTTCTCTCACTTCTCTTTTCTCTCTTCCCTCTCCTTCCTGCTCTTTTTTTTTTTTTCCTGCGTTCTCTAACCTTGTTGCTTCTTTTTTTTTTTTTTTTTTTTTTTCTTCTTCGTGATAACTCTCTCTCTCTCCACTCTTCCTTCAAATTTTGTTTTATTGTATAAAATAAATGACCAACAATTAATTAAAACTCTTGCTCAAAACTCCTTTTTTTAAATAAAAATATATGTAATTAATATTGTTGAGTAAGTTGTATAGTGACTTTTCTCAAAATAAATTTTTAAAAAAATTGTAACTCTTGAAATCAAAAAATTAATTAATATTGTTGATTAAGTTGTATAGTCACTTTTCCCAAAGAAAAAAAGGAAAAAAAATTTGTAACGCTTGAAATCAAAAAATTAATATAAGAACAAATAATTAATTTTTTTTAGCCATGGATGGTAGAAAAGTAAAAAATTTGCAAAAGTAAAATAAATAAATAAACAGGTTCGAATGAATTAACCTGTTTTGACCCACCCATTTGAAACCCTTACCCGTTTATGACCTACTAATGGTGGGTTGAAAATGGGTTACTAGCCCATTCATACCCAACACATTCCAAACTTGCCCGGATCCACCCAATTATCACCCCTACTTATGACGTCATGCTTGACGCACCTCAATATCTACTCGTCCAATAGATAGGCTCAAACACACATTACCATGATGTTGTATTTACTTGTAAACTGAATATTAGATATTTAATCTTATATTATATTACCGGAAGAATCAATAGAAGATGTAAAACATATTAAAGGTTTTAACTAAAGAATCAAATGGTGTAAAACGTCTATCACCTTTGAGATACTTCTAGATTTTCTGGTTGGATATCAATGTAATAAAAACAAAACAAGAATTTGTATTTATTTTTTAGATTTGTACATGCCTCAGATGAGGTTGAGAGGATATGTGTTTTATGAGATCACTCGATCTCAAAGCATAAACCGATTGTTTTTGAGGAATGAACTATTTGATTTAAAAATATAATTTGTTATTTGAAAAAAGAGTTTAAGACCAACGTGGTCTAGCGGTATTAGACCACTACTTCTCAAAAGGACGTCGTAGATTCAAGCCTTAATGGTGGCATGTACCAAATAAGGAGGCAAAAAAAGGAAGAGCGTAAGTGGCATTTTGGACCTTAATAATAATTCTCAATGCATAAGTAATTATTTGTTTAATTCAACCAAACTAAAAAAAAAAAAAAATCAAAAATAAACTATTTTGTTATTTAGGACTTCTAAGTCGACTTTTCCCATTAAAAAAAGGGTATTGGTTAACAAGTATATATATATATTATTATTAGATAGGTTTTCTTTCCAATAAATAATTTTAAATTTTAATAATAAATTGAGAAAATTTGTTACGTAGGTTGCTTATATATTTGTGTAGATAACTGCTCTACGTCACATGCCACCTTTCATTTTAATATTATAAATGCAAGGCCACATAGGCCACATTTACATACTGTAAAGAGCATATACCGTACGCCAGAGCTCTATCTGTTTGGCCTTACGAGAGGGGCCCCGCTCCAGTCGGATAGGCTTCTTTCTACGCGCCTACACTGTTTAAAGGAAGAGATTGCTACCCTTCACTCTCCTACTGTCATGGAAGTACCCCGCTCCAGTTGGATGGGTATCGTCATGCACCATCTTTGAGGCCTCTTTTAATCTAGATTATCTATGATGTTCATCCTGAGCTCCCCTTGCATAGGAGCTCAGGAGCTTCAAACTTAATTATTCACCTCGAGCTCCCCCTACATAGAAGCTCGGGAGCTTAAAGGATGTGCGGAAGCTCGGGACCAAAGAAGGCAAGTCCCAAGCAATTCCCCTATCTCCTCCTACTTTGCGGGAATCTGATAATCAATGGTTAGGTGGCTGGGTTCCAAGGTTTCGCCTTACCTCGAGGTCTACACAAGGGGGAGAGAATGTTTAATACCTAATATCTAAGCTCGAGCAGTAGTGTAATACCCCTAATATTCAAAATGATAGTCTCGGCATTTTTAATTATTGTTTTCTTTTTAATGATTGTTTTAGTTCATTTTATTTGATTATTTGTTTATGTGCTTACTTTAAATTATTTGTTTTATTTAATTGTTAATTGGTTATTTAATTTTAATTAAATGTTAGTGTTTTATTTAATTGTTGTTTTTTTTAATTTTAATTAAATGGTTAGTTGTTTTATTTAACTGTTGCTTTGCTTTATTTGTTTTAATTATTTATATGTCTGTGGTAGTTAATTAGGGTTTAATTAATAATGCAAAAATAGGGTTGTATTCTGTTATATCAAGTTTTGGGCTGACTAAGGTTGAGATAAGTTTTCCGTCTCTGAGTATAATTCGACCTTGGTTTAGTTTTGCCTATATATATAGGTATTAAGTTCTTTCTAGGGTTTTAAGAACTCTTGTCACGATAGTGGAGGCAGAGAGAGAACAGATGAAGGTTTACAGTCGGCATTCGTCGGAAACACTTAGGAAGATGACGCTGAGATTTTGAACCAAAATCTCACAGGCAAGTTCTATCCTTAACTCTTTCCCTTAGGCTTCATGTTCTTTGCATACCTAAATAGTTCCAGGATTAATTGAATGTTAAAAACGTTCTCTGTTTTCATGTTTAAAATTTAATCGTAACAGTATGTGTTGTATACTTGTTAAACTGTTGAAATGTGAAATTTGCTTACATAGTTCTATGTTTAAATCCATGTTAGTAATGTAATAAGGACTTAAACACGGGTTGGAACATACTGGGACTTAGTTACAATTTCTGGGAACCTAAGCAGTGAAGTACCGGAGGTGTAGAAGGCGCCGGAAAAAGAGAAGACGAGGCAGAGAAGGGAGAGAGCTGGCTCTTCCTTGGAGAGAACCGGCTCCCATTGAGCGGAGGCGGCTCCCAAAGTGTGGGAGCCGGCTCCTTGTTAAATTTTTATTTTTATTTTTTCGTTTCCAGTGAGTTTTGGCTACAGTGGATGGTTTTCGGTGGTTCCAGTTGTGTTTAGGACTGTATTTGGGAAGTTTAAATGAGGCTTATAGTCATATTAAGGCTTCAGGAGTCATGTTAATAAACTAATTACTTGGGGTAGCTTGGACAGTATATGGTTTAAACAAATTAGTACACTGTTTTTGTAATACCTCTAATTTTAAAAGGATATTTTTGGTATTTAATTTTTGATTTATTTAATTTTTTATTTGATTGTTTTTATTTGATTAATTGTTTAATTGTTTTATTGTGTTGTTTAAATATTATTTGTTTAATTAGATTTAATTAATTATTTAAATTAAATTAAGTGCTAAATTTATGTAATGTGGACTAATTACCTGTTTAATTTTTAATACTGATTTAATTGTTTTGTTTAATTAATGTATTGTATTTTCTTTATGGTAACTTAGAATTACAGTTATAAGAGCCGCCGTAGGTTAGAACTGATAGTTTCATGGGCCGGTTAAAATTGGAATTAGGGCTTAGCCTCTAATTGTACATGGATTAGGGTTAGTGTTAATTTACACCTATAAATATATGTAATACGGTGGTTTAGGGTTTTAGAAAATACACAAAGTTCTTCTCACGTACCTAAGAAACAGAGAGAAAATACAGAGTGCAATAGAAAGGAAT